CAAAAGCTGGCCTCCACGATGAAGGAGTTCTCTTCTATTCAAAAGATCAATAAGGGCCTTGAATAAAAAATGCAGAAGCTGGAGGATCAAGCTGAAGCTGCAATTAAAGCTCAGAATAATACCAAAGAGAAGGCTGAGGCGGCTACCAACTAAAAATAGAGGCATATTATGACATAATAAGTACAAAAATCAGCTAAGGCATGGTCAACAAGAGCCTAAGCTAGGTGCTCCCTCAAGAGGCCAAAAATGGTCCTTTTCAAGGACAACAAGGAGAGGGGGTGACCCTCTCCTTCTTGGGACTTCAAAGCACCATCCTTACCACTGAAATCCCTCAAGATTTCAGTGGTGAGGAGGCCCAAACACCAAGGTCTCGGAGCTTACACAAAATGGCACAAAATGGAGCCTTACAAGGCTTAAGAGGGGTCAAACAACCTCAAACCACAAAACACTCTAAACAAACTATTTAGAGGGCCTAAAAACAGAACTTTTTTATGTTATATACTAAACACAAAAGCAATTGCAAGGTAGGCAAAAATACAATGCAAAAATGGGGAATAAAGAGACAAACTTCTTACCCTTGAAGACCTTCTTCACAAATGGTGGACCAGCTACTTCCTTAAGCTTAAACCAGCCCCAAAACTCCAAGAACAGACCTCTGGTCCTTCAGAACCAAGAAAATGTGTAACACTATGTGTTTGTGTGCAATAGTGAGCCTAAACACACACTAAACACAAGAGGAAGAGAGATATAGAGCTAGGATATAGACAAACCCTAACCCTAGAACTCAAACCCTAAAATGGCTGTCTAAAATGTCTAACCCCTTTCAACAAGAGAGAAGACCTCTCTTTATAGAGCTTTTTGTCTTGTAAAGCTTACAAGACAAGCTTCTAAAGAGAGAGATCCCTCTATACACGTGTATGGAGGGGAGCCAAATGCAAGACAGTTGTGTCAAAATATCTGCAAAAGTAGATGCACAGTAGTCAGCTGGCCAAAGATGCAATTGACCAAAAAAAGATAGCCGACCGGCCATCTATAGTGCCGGCCGGCCAAATATTTGGCCGGTGGCCACAAAACATGGCCGGTCAGCTACCTTTTTTTAGTCAATTGCATCTTTGGCCGGCCGACTACTGTGCATCTGATTTTGCAGATATTTTAATACAGCTGTATGGCATTTTGTTCCAAGCACAAAACAGTTGAGTCGAGAGGTCCTGCGACGAGGCGCGCTGCCAAGGCTTCCGGGAACTCAAGACGAACACAAACATGGATAATCACCAAGTGTTCCAATGGTGACGTCCAAGTCTTGAGGACGGTCAAAAATGGGGTATCTACAACAACCCTTCCACTACATCATCATTGCCTCTAGGCCTCTTCTTGTTGTCATTCTTTTTTGTAGAACTTTTAGGTGGTCGTTGACTTGATGGGCTGGAGCAATTTATTCCCTCGCCGATATGACTACTAATATCCACATGTTCAAGAAATGTGCCATCATCTGCAAGACTGTTGAACAATAATTCTTCCTCAGCATTTATAGCATCAACTGCATCAGTAAGCCCTTCAGCAAACTCCCCGGTAGCTCGATCCTTACCAAATATGTGGATCCATGAGTCGAAATACGGAAAACTTTTGTTTCGTAGGTTTTTCGCATCACTCTCCCTCTACAATAACCAATTTCAATTAATACCTCTAACTTAAGATTAAAGAAAAATGAATTAAAAAATTAATAACTTATACAAAGTAACTTAAAAGAAGGTATTTTACCCGAACATATGCTTCCCAGACACTATCACTCTCAACATCAATTCTTTTTTTGGTGTCATTCCATCCAAAACCACTAGTACCAAGCATTCCCGCTACACAGTTGTAGTGCTTCTTCCATATCTTTATCTTTGATTCGATGTGGGGAGTGCCGCGAAGGTTTGTCCCAGGTAGCATCTCCAACAATTTCTCCTCTAATTTCATAAGGTAGCCGGCCTTGAAGGCATTGTCCTGTTTCATTCCATTGTTGACAATGTGCATCAAGGCATTAATAAGACATTGCTCTTCTGGTGGGCTCCACAATCGCCTTGGTTTTGACGAATCAACTTTCTCCTTTACTTTTTTATGAGAACTAGACACTTCACTATCCATGCCTAGCAAAGAAGAACAAAGAAAAGTGTGCATGTTAGTCTCCATTATATGATTATCAATCTGTTAATGTACCAAAACAAGTCAATACATAAATGGATTGTGGATTTCAATAATCAAAAAATTTCATACCCATACATGCATGTAACAAATCCATGAGACAAAAAAATATCGTCGCTTAAAAAATATGCAATCACCAACAAAAACCATACAATTTTTGCAAAACATCGTTCAACATCCACAAGCTAATACAAGTTCCAAGTACAAATCAAATGAAACTACATCATACTTGTAACAAGTGCTTACCATGAATAGTTACATTCATACCATACTAGACACTCAAATAAATAAATAAAAGAGAAGAAAGAGAATCATTTGATATTGGAATAATAAACTGGAATACAAACCAAGAACAATGCATTAGGCTTCTAGTTAAATAAAAGTTATCATGAGAATATGATACACGTAAATTCACTCAAGATATCATACATATAAAATAAAATAAAAAATACCCTACATATAATATAAAGAAAAAAAACACTCTATGGACCTTTTCTCTTAAATAGTGAATATGTCAAAGTTGTGACCTTATTTCTTTGTTTTAGTTACATATTTTAATTTTGTTGGTGGAGTGGGGGGTTTGAAATTATAAGTGAATGTCATGATCAGCTTCTTTTTACCTTATCATTTCTCTTTCTTTTTAAAATCTACACATGAAAAAAAGATAAATGTTGGAGTTTGACAATGCTACTAACATGATTTGAAAATTCAAACAAGAAAAAGAGATAGCTGGAAGTGAGATAATTTTGATCTAATTATTCCCCATATATGACATTTTTCATGCTCTATATTGCCCCCCCCCCCCAAAAAAAAAGATGCAAATTCTGTTGTCCAAAAACACAGGAATTTTGAGACATGATTATCTATGTGATTGAGAGTGCATTGAATACATTTTGGATACATAGAAACATGAATTTTAGGTATAGGGAATCCCATCCTGTGTCCTGTTACTGAGGAGGATGCATTATTATTTGTCAATTTTATCTTTTTGAAATGGTTCTTGGAAACAATGGTGTCCCTTAATGGAAATTGTATATTGGGCATTGGAAGAATCCTTTATCCTTTTGGTGTTCTAATAAAGTGATTTTATTTTATTGGATTTTGTATAGAACAACACACCATGGCTATCAGTTCCCCAGTTTGGTGACTGGGATCAAAAGGGTGTATTGCCAGACTACTCTCTGGATTTCTCAAAAATTAGAGAAATGAGGAAACAAAACAAGAGGGATGTGTCAAGAGCCAGTCTTGGAAATGAAGAAGAGCTTATCTCCTCAGCCACCACCACTACTATAGACACCAACCACAGTGATCATCACCATCACCATCAAAACCACTCTCCAATTGTAAGATTCCTTGACTCTCTTTCTTCTTCTTTTTTTGTTGTTGTTGGTGGTGGTAATGGATTGTTCTAGATAGAATTGAATACAATAATGAACATAGCTATACAGGTAGTCATTGTTAGTTTCTTTTTTTCAAGTACATCATCCCTAATTGTACCCTCTGGTTCAATGAAGCAAAAAGTTGCATCTCTACTTTAGACAAAAGAGGGTAAAGAATGGCTCAATCATAATCCATGACTAGCCTCGTATATATATATATATACTGAATTGAAGAGATTACAATTTTGGAAGGTAAAATAATAATCACTAAAAACCAGCCTAATATCCCATAATACAGAATTTATGAGATCCTAAATTATTTCCATATTCCAACATAGACATCCTATGCACAAATGTATAACAAAGAACAAATATATTCACACAGAAAATAGATATTGAATAGAGAAGTTGAGGGGGAGAAAACCCCATGATGACTTATGCAGGCATAACTTGGTGTATAGTAGTAATAACAAGAAAAATTTTCCTCCAAACGTGCAAAGCATTATAATTATCATGAGTTCACAACAAGTGAAAGGTACACCTGGGTTGACTGCAGTTCTTGTTCCAATTATCAACAATTTTTGTATGGCAGTTCATCCCTGTGGATCCTACTTTCTATTTCTCACTTTTAAAAATGCAGTCAAGTAAGAATCCACTGAAAACGTTTCCAGGGTAAGAAGCATTAAATCACACAAAATGGTGATCAGTGTAATTTCTAAAAGACACAATAGAGCTGCAGGCCCTCTTTAGTGATGAGATGAAAGGATATCAAAATGCCCTGTTTCAGATCCTACCACCTAAATCCAAGTCATAGCCTTGCAGTCAAGAAAACACATTGATCACAAATAGCAGATGATGGCCATCAATATATATATATATATATTTGAATCAAGGAGTTCAAATATATATATATATATATATAATTTTTGCCTGCCAATATCATTGGATTCATAGCACTACCCAAGTCTTCTATTTAAAGTAACTTTGAAAGACAAAAATTATAAAACTCATTAACTGCAACCATATTTTTTAATTCATTAATTTTCCATTCCAGTGGATAGTAAGGACATTCTTTAATTTTTGAACCGGCCATAAGAAATTGAAGGTTTCACTACATCAATAAGGAAGAGAAAAAGAAATAAAGCTCAAAAAAAATGGAGATTTGGTTCGAAAATAATGACGATGAATCGAAATTAAAACTGCAAAAACGAAAAGAGAAACTTTGATTTGGTTCAAAAACGATGAAGTTAATTTTCGAAACAAAAACCAAAAAACCTATAGCTCAGAAAATCTGCATTTTGCACGAAGAATGCTGAACTTAATTTCCGAAATGAAAACCACAAAACCGAAAGAGGGAAACTTTGATTTGGTTAAAAAATGATGAACTTAATTTTCGAAATAAAAACCACAAAACCTATAGCTCAGAAAATCTACTTTTGGTTCGAAAAATGCTGAACTTAATTTCCAAAATCGAAACCACAAACCGAAATGGGAAACTTTTATTTGGTTCGAAAATGATGAAGTTAATTTTTGAAATAAAAATCAAAAAATCTGTAGCTTTGAAAATCTACATTTGGTTCAAAAAATGCTAAACTTAATTTCCGAAATTGAAACCACAAAACTAGTAGCTCAGAAACTTGCATTTGGTTTGAAAATGCTGAAATTAATTTCTGAAATCAAACCACAAAACATTGATTTGTATTCTGAAAGGGATTTTGAGATTAAACTAGGGATATGGTTCCAAAATCAAACCACATAATTTTGAGGTTAATCCAGAAACTTCACCTTAACAAGCCTTTAGATTGTCGATTACCTAATACAGGAAATTCACCTTATATAGGATGTTATCAAGCCCACTTTCATAACAACATTCACTTTGGTAATAAGATTCTCAAAGACATACAAATCTAACAATATGAACTCACAATCAACAAATCTGAGATTTCAATGTGAGTGAAAAACTCATAACCCTAGATATGGATCTATGAAGATGAAGAGAGAGAAAGAGCAATAACTATAACAACACCAATGTAAAACAAAGATTCATAGCAAATCAAACCACGTAATAGCACCTTAATTCAAACCGAACATCAACGGAAAAAAAGAAAAAAAGAAAAAAGAATTACTCACTGAAATTTGTTGAGATCAGTGAATCAACAAATGGTGGATCCAAATCGATGAACAGTTGCTCTAGATTTGTAAATGATGGCTCCAAATCAGTGATCAGTGGCTCAAGCTCGGTGATGAACTTTGAAGACTCTCATCTCATCACAGTAATGTCGAAGAAGTGAAGGTTGTAGAATCAAATAATCAACAAATATGATATATAGTGAGGGTTAATTTGGTCATTTGATGAGTTAGTCCATACTTTGGCTAATCTCCCAATTTATATCCCACCCCTCTTTGTAGGATTGAATAGTCCATCAAATGTGGGACATCATATCCGAAAGGATTATTAATTCATACTTCAATTTTTTAACCAAACAGCGGATTAATAGATTTCTTGGACTATTAATCCAATCCTAAGCCCATGTCCATCCAAACAAACATGGCCAAAGGTTATTAGAGGCTTAGACAACAGAATAGTCCATGATTCAAAGGGTCAATGAAGGACAATATGCAGTGTCATAGAAGAGAAAAAAAAGTTGTCAGAAGAAGATTTTGAGGCATAAAAGGATTGTAGAAATCATAATACTAAACAGCTCTGAATAATTAATAGATGAAAAGCATAGAAAATTACTTCGTGAAAAGGAATAAGGATAGATAAAACAATCACACAAAAAATTGGCATTCCATGGGCAAAGATGCTAAAAGAAAATAGATATTGTTCATGAATTAGGAGACAATCTCTGAATTGAAGGGAAAAGGGCCGCAAAATTAAGACCTTGTAAGTCAAGAAAAATCACCTAAGATAATGTGGCAATAAAGATGGTGGCTAGGGATTATAAATATTCTGGCCTTTTTTTCAATGCTACTATTAAAGTCTTCTCATATTTAAAGATAAAAATGTCTTAATTCATTCAACATCAATATTTAAAAACCTCACTCATTGCATAAAGACGAATATCATTAAGGTAGAAAACAAAAACAATCATTAGAGGACCAAAATAATTACGTTGTCCTCATACCAAAATCTAATCGGCATATCAACAAAATATAGCTTATAAACATCTCAAAAAAAAAAAAAAAAAAATTCACAAACGTAACAATAATGAACTCAATCAAATATCCTATTACTTCATCTACAATCTTCACATCCTTCGAGCTTACTCCAAGATGAGTTTTGGCCTCTCTTCTTTCTGAAGACAAATGTAATGAATAAATAAAAATAATAATCAAATCCCCTACTTAACAGAAGCATTTAAAAAGGTAAGGTTAATTAATTAAACAATCAGGAAAGCCAATGGATTAAATCTTGGTTCAATACACAAGCCAATATCTTCCCATTCACTCATAAATGGTTTTGACGTTCCGTCTTCACCACTTCACCTTTTCGGACCCACCCCAAAAGACGTTTGGGGTCCACCCAAATTGGGTTAAAAAATATGCCTATATAAAACCATTTTTTCCAACACAATACACAAGCCAATAAAAAAAATTCATATAAAGAATTCAATTTCCAGAGCAATGGCTTTAATTGGATTTACAAAAAGAGAAAAAAATTCACATACAAAGAAAGATGAACATTGGCTGCTGAATATATATATATATATATATTATATGTATCTAGAGCATATACACCAGAGAGAGAGAGCAGCGGACGAAACTATTACACAGAGAGAGCATCGAGAGAAAGAGAGAGACTAATAGCGGTAGTGGTGAGCCGATCGGCACAGCAGCGGCGGTGAGGAAATGAGAGGCTAACGATCAGCAGCAAGGGAAGGAGAAACCAATGGCGGCGGTGAGGAAAGGCTGTCGGCGGTGAGCCGATTGGCACACCGACGATGTGTGTGAATCAATGAAATGTTAGCAACGACGGTGAGGAAACTCAGCCCCGTGAATGAGTATAAGGTGTGTGTGTGTGTGTGTGTGTGTGAGAAATTAGGTTTGATGGAGAAATTATTGTGTGTGTGTGTGTGTGAGGTCTGTGTGTATTACCAAGCATAATAGGTTTTTTTTCTTTTTTTTAAGAACATATCTGCTTCCATAGGCGCCAATATATTTTCATTTCCCTCTAAAATATTTAGCAACTAAATCATTTATTGGTGACAAAATTATTTCTTCACCAAAGATAAAAATATTGGCCACAAAAATAGTTTTGTCACTAAATGATATTAAAATATTAAAAATTATTGGTAACATAAATAGGGAAAGTCTACAATGTGCACCTTATAAAAGGGCTGTAGACACCCCATTTTGACCGACCTTAAGACTCAGACGTCACTGATTGAGTGCTCAGTGATATTGCATATTGTGCTCGTTCAGAAGTTTCAGAGTCCCGGCTGCAAGCCTTGCCTTCAGACTTCCGGACTTTTTCGTGCCTTGTCTCAGTTTGCGAACCGTACATTTGGAGACGAAATATTATTTTCGTCATTAAAAGATACGTATTTTGTGACAAAATTTATTTTCATCATTAGTTTTCGTCTCTAAAAACTATTTTTGTTGTAGTGTTATTAAAAGTTGGGTTCATCAGAATGGCCAGATATGTTGAATGGCTTTCTAATGTTGTGCTAGCTACTAAAAAGAATGGAAAAATAAAAGTTTACGTTGATTTTTGAAATTTAAATTTGGTAACTCCCAAGGATGCATATCCAATGCCAATGGTGGATCTACTTGTGGATAGATCAACATGACATGCCATTTTGTCTATGGTAGATGGGCATTCTGGGCATAGTCAGATATGCATACCTAAGGAAGATGTTCACAAGGCTACTTTTAGATGCCCAGGTGATTTGTGAACCTTCAAATGGGTAAAAATGCCTTTGGGTTAAAGAATGTTGGGGTAGCCTATCAAAGAACCATGAATATCATTTTTCATGATCTAGTTAGGGATTTCTAGAGTGTTATATTGGTGACATTACAGTCAAGTCTCAATCTTTAGAAAATCATTTGGCTCATTTGGAAGTTTCATTCAAAAGGATGAGACATTATCAACTTAAGCTCAATATTCTTAAATGTGTTTTTGGTGTGTCTGCTGGTAATTTTTAGGATTATATGGTCTATAGAAGAGGAATCTAGATCAACAAAAATAAAGCCAAAGCCGTCATCGAAGCTAAGCCACCTACTAGTAAGAAAGAATTGTGAAAATTTCTTGGGCAAGTTAATTTCCTTAAAAGGTTTATTGCTAATACTACTAGCAAAACTAAAGTCCTTTCTTCTTTGTTAAAACTTAAAGATCATGAGGAGTTTAGGTAGGAAGCAGAACATCAAGCAACATTCGAAGCTGATTGAGGCCGAATTGTACAACACTGAGGCTGATAATTAGGATCTCTTAACCTTGCTTGCCAATCAAATTGTATATTTTATGTTTGTTTAATGCCAAGCAGGCTGGATGCGGTTGGAGCACAAAATGAGCAAAAACATAGCATTTTAGCTAGAAAAGGACTTGCCGCACATGCGGAGGACCATTCTCGCATGTGCGGCCCAACCAAATAAGCCAAATAGCTACTATAAAAATTACACGTGTTGAGGGTTTTTCTCGCACATGCGAAACCCTCTCTACACGTGCAGTGATATTTCTCGCACATGCGACCGTGCCTTGAAAAGTGTGCTTGATATTTTGAACCTGTTTGGAAAGACTGAAGATATAAAAGACAGAAGAAAAGGCTGGAAGAGGGTTCTGAAAATTTCAAAAGAGAAGAGGGGCTAGGGTTTGGGAAAAGGGGATTATCAAGCTTGAAGATCAATTTACATGGGAGTTTTTGCTTCTTCTATCTCTTCCCACTCCTCCATGAGTGGCTATGCTTATTTCTAAGGTTTTGATGAAACCCTAACCAAATACATAGGATTTTCTTTTTGGTTTTCTTTTATATAATGGTTTGAACAGTTGTATGGTTCTCAAGAAGTTTTCAAATATAATCTTCCATTATTTCTTCAAGTATTCTTCTTTCTGTGATTGTTGAATGCTTTCCATGCAATGGTTTTCTGTGATTTTATGTTCATGGTATGAGACGAGCGATACTACAAGGGACGAGTCGTGTTGCTACCCTAGTTTAGAGCGAACAACTCGTACTACTTAAGATGGTTTGTGCCTATACGTTGAACGTGTTAATTTTCTCGATCAATGCTTTGAACTTGTAGTTGCGAAATATTATTTAGAGACCGATTCAAATTTTAGGTAAACGACATAAGTCTTGCAAGGCAAGACTATTCCATTGGTTAAGGTGTTTCGGTGACACCATGAAGTTGAGGAGGCAACTTAGGAGCGTGATGTTGAGGTCCATGAAAAGTATCTGGACTTGTTTGTTAGCGTTTAAGTCTTTTATACTTTTTTCACGTTTTATTGTAATATGTAACTGTTATAAATGTTTAGAGATTGGAGGTCAATTTTATTGAGTGGAGTTGTTTCATCTTTATACTGCTGGGCATGAATTATGTTACTATTGATGTTATCATTCTTTTGTCGTGATCTTATTTCAATTTCGGGGACGAAATTTCCTAAGGTGGAGAGATTATAGCGGCCCGAGTCATGACCTAATCCTTTGTACTCTTTTAATCTAAGGTCCAATGCTCTGTATAGTTGTTTATTCTCTTTATTGTCTTGTTGTCATTGGGGTTTGATTATTGGTTGTGTTTGAACATATTGGAAGTAAGTTTTTCAAAGGAGTTTTTATCTGTTTCTTTCCAGGTTCGCTCAAGCGGTCTTTTGTTTGCTCGAGCGGTCTTTGGTTCCTCCCAATATTTTTGCAGGTCTGAAAAACTACTAGAAGTAGGGTGAACTTCGCTCGAATAGTCATTTCTTCACTCGAGCTGTCTTTTGCAGGTCTGCAAAACTTCTAGGAGGGGGTCATTGTGCACTTGAGCCGTGTTTTGGTCAATCGAGCCATATCAATGTCTTATGTCTGACGCTCGAGCAGTGTTTTTGTCATTTAAGTGATCTGTGTGTATATCAAATTGGGAAAAAGTCAATTTTCATCACTTTTCTCTCTCTAAAACACCCCCAAACCTAATTTCTTCACACACACTCTCTCTAATTCTTGTTTAAATACTTCATACACCCTAATCCATTGATTTCTCCACCATAGTACCGTGGAGAAAAGTATAGAGTGCATAGAGGTGGTCGTTTTGATTGGAGAAAGTTCGAGTTTCAGTTTCGTCAAATCTTGAGTCTTGTTTAACAACTCTTCTAGTCTTGAAGTAGGGATTTTTTCAACCTTTTCGTATGATTCTTAGCTACGTTATGTGTATTTTAAAAAGGGTAGTGATCTCAAGTTGAGGGTTTTGATTTGGGTTTAATTTTGGGGAATATAAAAGTGGGGCTTTCAAATGGATTCATGGAAAATGTTGTGAAGATGGTTATTTTGTTAATTTGGGTTGGAATCATGGAAATTTCTCCTTTAAATGCATTATTGAAAGGAAATGGATTTTTGTTGGGAATTATTAAATTTTTGGATTTTTGTTGGAAATCATTGAGATTTTGGAACTAAGAACAAAGGGAAAGAGGTTGGATTTTGAAATGAGAATATGAATGTATATGTTGATAATAAGAGTGGAGTTGAATGTAATATCACTCCTATGTTGAGATTATGAAATTTTTACTCGTTGTTTGGAAATTTATCTTTTGTGTAGAGATATTTGTTTTGGGCTATCGGCGGAGGATGGTTTTGATTGTTGAAGAAATTGCATGAGGAATAAGTTAATTGAAAATCATTTACTTATACATCTTGCATTAAACATTGTTTTATATTTATATATATTGAAATTGTATCAGTCTTAAGAAAAATGAGTGAATACCTTGGTAAATCTGGTTAGGGGGTGTGGTTGTGGTATTATCTATGTTGCCCAGTGTATCCTTAGTGAAAGTTCAGAAACCCGCGCGGTTAGGTGCCAATCCTTTCGGTTAGCATCGGTAAAATGGCATTGGTAGTGCTTGTATAGCCTACTAACAGATGCATACCTAGAGATTCCCAATGTTGAGTATCTATTACCCTATTTTCTAACTTTAAAAAGTATTATTTTATGAATTTATTTATAACCATATCATTGATTATTTTGAAAGAGAAATGAGAACATTTTGATAATGGTATGCATATGCATTTACCATATGACTTTGTTATGCCTCATACACTGTGTTCAAGCATTCTCTACTGGGTTTTAGCTCACCATATGTAGAA